TGCTCCAGGACTATCCGTTTTGCTGCTGGTGCTGCTGCTGTTGCTGCTGCTGTTGTTGCTGCTGCTGCTGCTGCTTGGGTTCATTTTCCTGCTGGCGTTGTTGCTGGTGTTGCTACTGCTGCTGGTGCTGTTGTTGCTGCTGCTGCTTCTTCTGCTGCTCGTGCTGCTGCTGCTGCTGCTGCTGCTGTTGCTACTCCATATGGCTGTAGACATAGCAGCAAACGCTGCAGCAGCAGCAGCAGCAGTGGCAGCAGCAATAACAATAGAAGCAGCAGCAGCAGCAGGCAAACAACATGGGAGACAGACAGGAGCAAACGGCAGCAGCAGCAGCAGCAGCAGCAGCAGCAGAAGCAACATAAAACAAGAACGAACAAAACGCAAGAAAGACAAAAACCAGAACAGCTGCAGCAGCAGCAACAAACAGAGATAGAGGATGAACACGCAGCTGGAACTCTCTTCTTAGCTAGCTAGCTAGCTAGCTGCAGCTAGCTAGCTGGCTAGCCACTGCGGCTAGCTAGCTAGCTCAAGCAGGGGCTCAGCTAGCTGCAGCTAGCTGCAGCGTTGCGGCAGTACCAGCTAGCTATGGACTCTGGGTGAATCTGGTTCTAGAGGCAGCAGCTACATTAGGGTTTAGGGTTTAGGGTTTATGTTAGGGTTTAGGGTTTAGGGTTTAGGGTTTGCCGGTTTGGGTGTTTGTGTCTGTCTCATCTCTTAGTCTCTAACAAACCCTAAACCCTAAACCTTAAACCCTAAACCCTAAACCCTGAAAATTAATATATAAAAATAAAGGGTTTACTACTAAACCCTAAACCCTCGGCAGCAACAACTGCTATCGATTCAACGCGTGGGGACCCCTGGGGGGTCAGCAGTAAACCCTAAACCCTAAACCCTAAACCCTAAGGTCACTGCAACACAGAGCCACTGGGCTTTTGTAAAGAATTAGAGTTTGGATCTGAGGGTTTACGTTTACTTCTAAGGGTTTAGGGTTTAGGGTTTAGGGTTTAGGGTTTTGCTGGGGCTGCCTGCAGGGGGGCCCCCGGGGGCCCCCAGGGGGCCCCTCGGCGGTGTTTGTTATTTTTTTGTATTTGTTTGTTCTTCAGCTGAAATTGGTGTTTTGGTTGTTGCGTTTACTGTGAAAGATGTATTAAATTAGGGTTTAGGGTTTAGGGTCTAGGGTTTAGGGTTTAGGGTTTAGGGTTTAGGGTTTGGGGCTTCGATCCGGCCGTGTAGGAAGGCGAGCCCAACCCCGCCCCAGAGAATCTCTCCAGCAGCAGCAGCAGCAGCAGCAGCAACAGCAGCAGCAGCAGCAGCAACAGCGGAGGAATCAGCAACAGCAGCAGCAATAGTAACAGCAAGACCAACATCAGCAGCAACAGCAGCAGCAGCAGCAGCAGCAGCAGCTATTGCTGCTGCAGCAGACGCGGCGAAGGCAGACAGCAACCGCTGCTGCTGCTGCTTCTTCTAGTGAGGCAGCAGCAACTTCTCCGTCTGCTGCTGCTGCTGCTGCTGCTGCTGCTGCTGCTGCTGCTGCTGCTGCTGCTGCATATCCAATGGCTTCGTCCGTCAGCAAGCGCAGCACGCCTCCTTCTGTTGCTGCTGCTGCAGCAGCAGCAGCAGCAAGAGGATCTATAGAGTGTACAGACAGATGTGTATGTAATTCCCATTCCTTTGATTTATCTTTCCACCCAAAAAACCCTAAACTTGTTGCTGCTGCTGCTGTTGCTGGGGCTGTTGAGCTGCATGCGTTGCCTGATAAAGAGCTGCTGCAGCAGCATCTGCTGCAGCAGCAGCAGCAGCGCGAAACACAAAGACAAGAAAGAAAACTACACAGACGCAAACTAAGACGGCAGCAGAAACAGCAACAGCAACCGCAGCAGCAGCAGCAGCAGCAGCGGGGGGACGATGAAGATTACAGCAGCAGCAGCAGCAGCAGCAGCAGCGATGAAGAAGCTGCTGAGCGTTTCTTAGAGATGGATTTGGAG